GCTATCATAATCAAATATCTGCATTTTTTACATGCATTTTTTTATTATCTTATCTAAATGGACCAGGCATTTTATTTAAAAAAATATATAAACAAGGGTTAAAGTCAAATTCTATCTCCAAAACGGATTTGGTGAAATAATTAATGTCTGTTTTATTAGACTTTAAAAACAAATCAGCTCTTTTTTGTTGTTTATGTTATTGTGTAATACAGAAGCAGTCTATGCCACCAACAATGGGGATTGCCATCATATCATTGCTGTCCAAACCTGAGAAAGATCATTTGGATGCCTTTGAGTTTGCTCAATCATGATTATAAACCTTTTGCAAAAATATTAGCAAAACTTCCATTCAGTAATATGAGGAGGCTCCTGCAAATTGTTACATGTGCCCAGCTCTCTCCAGCATCCAGTGGTAGCAGTATCGCTGGATTTATTTTTATTATTTCGGAACCACAGAGATCTATATAATGCATTTAAAATGGACTCGGTGGCACTGTGGCTGACTTGATCCACCGGTGTGATCTGCGGAAGCCTGTAGTGGTGGAGTCAGACACTTTCTACTTCTCGTAGCATCAGTGAGCCAAGAATATTGGTAGATCTTGCAGAATTGGCTTTTTCTGTTGCAAATGTTAACACCCAGTCCGCACTGAAAATCAAAGAAAGAAACAAAGAAACTTCCTGAAACAAAGAGAACAAAAAGTTAACAAAACAAACAAACAAACCCAATTGATAATTGAACAAAACATACAGACTGAAAACAAACAGTCAAACAGAAATGTACCTAAACTAAGCAACCTCAATAAATCTGGACCAACAAGCAAATCAAAACTACAGAAATGAGCAAAACAGACAAACAAAGGCAAACCTAACAAAAGCAGAAGAGAACAACAGGTAACCATCACCAGGGACAAGCAAAAAGGGAGAACTGAGCCAGCTGATCTTCTTGTAGGGGGATATCTCGAACATGCTTGTCACAGTGCTCCTTCCGCCGGACAGCTGCAGCTTCTAGATGCCTGGTTGCACTCTCAAAAGCCTGACGTAACCAAGTCTGGTGTTCCACGATCCAATCATGGTTGTGGCCAGCTACAGGTTCCTGCACTCTGCCCAAAAGAAAGTCATGAACCTGTGTCCCTTTAGGTTTCTTTTCATCAAATAATTTTTTTGATTTACATTATATCCTGGGGTGCAGGGCCCCAGGTGGCGTGTTTGGTCCCTAAGTTATTGTTACCTCCTTAGTTATTTCGACCTCTCCCCTTAATTCATTTAAAACGACTCCGCTCCTTGCCACACAAAGAACACAATGAATAACAAAGGTGAACTTTCTCTCAGCTGAAAATTATAACTAGAATGTAAAGGGAACATGTGTAAATACACTGATCACCTAACTGTCAGAAGGAGATGACATTCATTGCATCTGCTTAAGAGAAAGATAAACAGAGATAAAAAGGTTCTTCTTTATTAATCACCACATTAGAAATACAAAAAGACAAAATTCAGATGAAAAAACATAACTCAAAGACAAACAGATATACACTGTTCTTATATAGTAAATTTTTTGGAGCAGCATGTGACCTGTTGATGTTGACATCTCTGGATGAAGTCGGACACATTTATAAGAGCACGCAATGTGTTAGGACCAGCATGCATCACGTTAAGTCAGCGCTGCAAAGAGCTGCATAAAGTCCAACGCTCCTCCTGTACTGTTAATCTCTCTGAGTGATCATCAAGACAAAAAATGATTACACCATTTCCCATTCACCTAATGGCTGCCGGAAGAACTACAATCTGTGAAAACAAATCACATGACCAGAGCGTCATCCCTTCCCATCGCCCCCCTCTGCGCCCAGCATCATCCCGGGTCTGTGCTGTGTGTGTGCGCCTTTAAGAGCCGTGTAGCCCGCTGCTCTCTGCACTAAACCTCCATCGCTGCTCGGCGAGAACCAGACACAGATAAAGAGGCAGAAACCACACGGTGCCAACATGTCCGCCAGCTCCGCTTTCAACGACGACAAGGGAGGCTCGTCCAGCGTCGGGGAGCCGGAGTATGGACACGACCCAGCGAGCGGAGGGATTTTCTCCTCCGACTACAAAAGGTAGGGAGCCACAGTCCTCATCTGTCATAGTGTGGGGGGTTGTAGAGGGGCAGCTTATGGCGGGGGAGGTGCACATAACATACACAGGAAGTGTATGTTACTGCCAGTGAAGGAGATAACACACAATTGCTGTGAAAACACACCTCACAGAAGTGTGTGTGTCAGCAGGCCTGGGGTTTAAAGCGACCTCTTCTGCGCGGTGGTGGATGTGTCTCCGTGATTTGAGCTCGTGGTGTGTGGTAGAGGCCTGGTGCTGGAGCCGCACACACACATGTGTGTTTTGTGTGTCTCTATGTGAGGTGTGTGTGTTCAGAACGTCAGTGTTCGTGTCATGTTGTTGCTGAGCTGAGGTGTGAGAGGCCCGAGAGACCGAGGGGAGCCCAGGCCTCAGCTGCAGCTTTTCAGCACCACCCCTGCTGGACAGCGACAGCAGCTCCGCGCCAG